TCCAATTCCAGGCCCTACTGCTCAGAGCTGGCGTCCCAAGCCAACTCCTAACCAACCCGCCACTGGGGCCGGCCCAGTTAACTAGATTATTTTACTCGTCCATGCATTTCAGAATGCTTAAGAACAATTACCGCTAACTTTGAGCCATTATATGTCAGGCACCATGCTAGATGAGTGCTTTATATAGCTCCTTTTTAAAATGAAATTTTCAAACATAACGAAAAAGTAGAGAGAATGATTACTGAACCCCCATATAATCGCCACCCATGTACTATAAGTATTACCTTATTTAATTCTCACCGCCATCTTTTGAGTTAATACTCCATTTGACAGATGGAAAATAGGCTCAGAGATCATTTATCTATCTCAAGTCACCAGATACTAAGTGGTGGCGTCAGGATTCATGAGCCCCAACTCCAAAGCCCCTGAATCCTCATGCACACGTCACTGTCATGCGTCTATACCTTTCGCCATCTCGCTGAAAAAATGCCAACGCAAAGCGCTTTCCCTGTGACAGAGCCCTCTCTGTTTCTCCGCTCCCAGGTCACGTGGGGCATGGAGCTGGAGAACGATGAGCAGCCCGTGGTTCTGAGAGAGGACAATCGCCGAAGACGCCGGAGGATGAAGCCGCGCGGCTCCGCAGCCAGCCTGTCCTCCATGGAGCTCATCCCCATTGAATTCGTGCTGCCCACCAGCCAGCGCACCAGCAAGACCCCGGAAACGGTGCTGCTGCACGTGGCCAGCCACGGCAACGTGGAGCAGATGAAGGCGCAGGTGTGGCTGCGCGCGCTGGAGATCAGCGTGGCGGCCGACTTCTACCACCGGCTCGATCCAAACCACTTCCTGCTGCTCTACCAGAAAAAGGGGCAGTGGTACGAGATCTACGACAAGTACCAGGTGGTGCAGACCCTGGACTGCCTGCGATACTGGAAGGTGCTGCACAGGAGCCCGGGCCAGATCCACGTGGTGCAGCGGCACTCGCCCTCCGAGGAGACACTGGCCTTCCAGCGGCAGCTCACCGCCCTCATGGGCTACGACGTCACCGACGTCAGCAACGTGCACGACGACGAGCTCGAGTTCACACGCCGCCGCCTGGTCACCCCGCGCATGGCTGAGGTGGCCGGCCGCGACCCCAGGCTCTATGCCATGCACCCCTGGGTGACGTCCAAGCCCCTCCCAGAGTACCTGTTGAAGAAGATTACCAACAACTGCATATTCATCGTCATTCACCGCAGCACGACCAGCCAGACCATCAAGGTCTCTGCTGATGACACCCCAGGAATCATCCTCCAGAGCTTCTTCACCAAGATGGCCAAGAAGAAGTCTCTGATGGATATCCCCGAGAGCCAAAACGAACAGGACTTTGTGCTGCGTGTCTGCGGCCGGGATGAATATCTGGTGGGCGAAACGCCCATCAAAAACTTCCAGTGGGTGAGGCATTGCCTCAAGAACGGGGAAGAGATTCACTTGGTGCTTGACACGCCCCCGGACCCAGCCCAGGACGAGGTAAGGAAAGAGGAGTGGCCGCTGGTGGATGACTGCACGGGAGTCACTGGCTATCATGAGCAGCTGACCATCCACGGGAAAGACCATGAGAGCGTGTTCACCGTGTCCTTGTGGGACTGTGATCGTAAGTTTAGGGTCAAAATCAGAGGCATTGATATCCCTGTCCTTCCCCGGAACGCTGACCTCACGGTTTTAGTGGAGGCAAACATCCAGCATGGGCAGCAAGTCCTTTGCCAAAGGAGAACCAGCCCCAAGCCCTTCACAGAGGAGGTGCTCTGGAATGTATGGCTTGAGTTCAGCATCAAAATCAAAGACTTACCCAAAGGGGCGCTACTGAACCTGCAGATCTTCTGCGGCAAAGCTCCAGCATTGTCTGGCAAGGCCTCTGCCGAGACCCCCAGTTCTGAGTCCAAAGGCAAAGCTCAGCTTCTCTATTACGTGAACCTGCTGCTGATAGACCACAGGTTCCTCCTGCGTCACGGGGAATACGTGCTCCACATGTGGCAGATATCCGGGAAAGGAGAAGACCACGGGAGCTTCAGTGCCGACAAGCTCACGTCTGCAACCAACCCCGACAAGGAGAACTCAATGTCCATCTCCATTCTTCTGGACAATTACTGTCACCCAATAGCCTTGCCTAAGCATCGGCCCACCCCTGACCCGGAAGGGGACCGGGTTCGAGCCGAAATGCCCAACCAGCTTCGGAAGCAACTGGAGGCAATCATAGCCACCGATCCACTTAACCCTCTCACAGCAGAAGACAAAGAATTGCTCTGGCATTTCAGATATGAAAGCCTTAGGCATCCAAAAGCATATCCTAAGCTATTTAGCTCAGTGAAATGGGGAAAGCAAGAAATTGTGGCCAAAACATACCAACTGTTAGCCAAAAGGGAGGTCTGGGATCAAAGTGCTTTGGATGTTGGGCTAACCATGCAACTCCTGGACTGCAATTTTTCCGATGAAAATGTAAGAGCCATTGCAGTGCAGAAACTGGAGAGTTTGGAGGACGATGACGTACTGCATTATCTGCTACAGCTGGTCCAGGTAGGGGATGCCTGTGTTATCCACCGAGTGCTCTTCTGAGGAATTTATTTGCATGTGCACAGGCTCCCCATTCAGTTGTCCTCAACTGCCCTTTGTCCAGAGCATCATGACTAGTCAAAGCAGATCTGAGGAGGCCACCTCAAAATGTAGTAAACTGTTCCAATTTGCTTTTTTATGGTCCTTGAGGGTTCGCTGACAAGCATTCTGAAGATGTTAATATTTCCACTTTTTAGGAGAACTGGCCCTGAGGGAATACTTAGTTCTCATTTACTCAGTTAACGATANTGCAGCCCCTGCTGCAGTGGGTTGCCATGGGCTACCGTGTGTAGCCAGCAGCCAGCATGAGCGGCCAGCAGCCGCCGTGAGCGGCCGTCCAGAAGCCAGCGACTGATCTGCCTCGCCCGGGAAAAGCACAATGATTGTGCCAATTTGGGCCAGTGAAGCAACGTCCTCCACAACTAAAATGAAGAACAAAAGGACAGCAACTTGTCTGTTCCCCTTCCCCCAATTTCCCAATTAAAAAAAAATCTTAAAATAAATAAATAAATGAAGTGCTTAGAACAATGTAAGATACACAGGAGGTGCTATGGAAGAGTTTGTTCTTGGTGGTGGTGACGTAACTGTTACTGTGGTGGTGGTGACTCATGAAGCAAAGCCTTCTCAGCTCTGTGCTTTCCTAAATCAGGAAGTCCTCCCAGTTGAAGTTACACAAACTGAGTAGAAGAGGCGTTGGTCAAACACCTGAGGGGAGAAGGAATGGGGGAGGGAGAGAAGAGAAAAGAATAAAGGACAGGGGCTGGAGCAGAGGAAGCAGCACTGGGCAGCACAGAGGTCTGACAGTAGAAAACCGTTTAATTCAAATGTGCAGGCGATTTGGAAGATGAGGCCGCGAGCTAAGCATAGACCACAGGGGTAGATAAGAGAGAGTCTGCTGTATCATGCTAAGGAATTTCGATTTTTAAAAATGAAGTAATGAAATTTTTTTTTCTAGAAATCTGTGAAGTGCTTTCTAAGCTGTATCAGCCAAGTGTAGCTGAACAAAAAAATTGAGAAAAGTGTCCTCAGTGTCCAGTTTCTGATTAGAATGGAGACTGTGTGGCATGGCCCACAGGCATCAGGATTTGGCCATACATCCCTGGGGTGGTGTGACTTCTTTCCTATAGTTTCTTTTCTCTGAACCTGGAGTGGCTCCCCTCTACCCACCTGGCATGATAAGAGTCTACCTTCCTAGCGGCATTCAAGGCTGTGACCAACTGTCCTCCCTGGTACCCTTTTGTCCTTACTGTCAGAGCCCTGACATTTTGTTCTGATGCCCACCCTTGCCTGCCATCCAGGAAGTCAGCGGGGGAAATCCTGATTAGCTCAAACCGTTCACATATTTCTATCCCCTATGCCAGTCATTGGCTGAGGGATGGGCACTTGCCACAATTCTAGCCAGAGACATGAGGGAACCCAGAAAGCTTCCAGGAAAGCTTTCCTTTCTGTCTGGAAAAGAAACACACAGGTGGGCATGCCTCTTCCTCCTCTGTGTGCTGTGTTGTCTGTGACACCTGGCATCACATGTCCTCTAGAGTATCCAGCACAGTGACTCGCATAGTATAGTTAGGCAAGTTTACATTCCGTTGAAAATTGCAGCTTTATAACAACATCCTGTGAGATAAGTAGGGTGGTTGTTATCCCTTTGGTAGATGAGGGAGCTGAGAGAGATGAATTAGCATATATCAAGCCTGGGGGATGAGCAGGGCTAAACCCAGGTCTCATGATGGCCAGTGCTTCTACAATACCAGGATGTTTCTCTTACATCACACCAGACATAGATTAGAAACCTTCAGAAAGGTTGGCATCCATGCCCAGACCACAAAGCAAGGCATGAAGGTCAAGTAAATTGTTAGAGTGGATTAAAATGCCTTTTTGTTCACATTGTATAAGCCATGTGAGGCTGAAATTTAAATAAATAAATAAATAAATAAATAAATAAATAAATAAATAAAACCATGAAAAGATGGATTCTGGTGCTTTTCAAGCTGAGAGATACACACGTCTGAGTCAGGTAGCTAGTCAACCCAGAAACAATAACAGATAGATAACACAGCTTCCCCACCAGTGTGCCCCATAGGGGTTCAGGCCCTTAAGGAAGCAGGCATTGCCTCAGGCTTCGAGGAGACTTTTCACTGTACCCCAGTGTGATAGTCGGTTCAGATGGCTATGCCAAAGTGTCAGAGACTGAATGGCTTATAACCAACAGAAACTTATTTCTCGTAGTTCTGAAGACTGCAAGTCCAAGATCAGGACACCAGCATGGTCAGGGTCCAGTGAAGGCCCTCTTCCAGGTGGCAGACGACTCTATTTGTACCCTTACATGGCAGAAAGCGAGCAACAGAGCTCTCTGGGGTCCCTTTTATGAAGCCACAAATTCTACTCATGAGGTTTCACCCTCATGACTTAATTACCTCCCAAAGGCCCCACCTACTAATACATTAGGAGTTAGGATTTCAATATAAGAATTTTGCAAGGACCCAAATAGTCCACTGCACCCAGTGTGCCAGGCAAATATTGTTACTATTTATATGTACTGAGACATGAAATAGGTTTGGGAAGTGCGTTCCTCTGTCTCCATATCATTACCATATCTCCCACTGCTGTCTTTCACAGACCCTCCATTTCGGCAAACTGATCCATTCACTGTTTTGTTTGTTCATATTTTGGCTTGAAGACCTTCCCTGTGATTCCTCCTGTCTTAAATCCTGGACTTCTCCCTGCATATCTGAAACTTTTTTTATCTCACCCAAAGTGACCTCCTCCAGTAAAGTGTTGTAGTAGGAGAATGTAATGAATGTTATATAATATAGTTAAACCACTTGGCCTATACATCCTATCATGTTGCACATCTCATTTTTTCATGTGTATCCTGTCTCTCCAACTACACCACAAATAATCTCTCTGAAGGGCATCACAAGGAGACTTTCTCACAGCAAATAATTCATTCTTAATCTGTTTATTGCCCACTGACACATCTTTCTGTGTTCTTATTTTCTAACTTGTTCTATCTTCCCATTCCTATGATCGTTGGATGTGATGTAGGAAGTCTGACTATTTCATTGTATTTTTTCCAACTAAAATGTAGTGTATGAATACTATATACAAAGTATGGTGCTAGATGCTTTGTATATACAAAGCACGGAGATCCACAGAAGAGAAAAACAGAAGAAAAGAGAGAAACATATTGATAAAAACAGGGTAATGATGAGGTCTAGGGGAGACAAAAGAGGTCCTAACTAGAAGATGCCTCCACGTGGAGGAAGTGTCTGTGCAGAGGAAGGAGACACTGGCCACTACTTCTTCCTTGAAACATTTACTACATACAGTCAAATTTTAGTGGCTATATTAGGATTTGGGGAAGAGAAGGGTACTTTTATTCTCAAGCCACCAATAAAGCCTCACAATTTGCAAGTTTAGTCATAGAACAGGCAACCTTTGCATAATTCGACTTAGCTGTAGTTCCTGCAGAGGCAAGGAGACCCAAGAGCCAGAGTCCAGCATTTCTGAATTAACGTGTGTATGTGTTGTCAGGTTGGGACTTGGTCCCCTGGGTGTGACTGAGACAGGGCAGGGAAAGAATCTGTTGAGGGAAGAAATCTATTGAATGATCTGGAAAACAGAGCTGGCCAAACTCATGGTCCCTCTCTGGACAGCCCTACCAACACAAACCCCCGCCCAGCCCTCCCACCCCCATGAGCCCTCCCACACTCTGGGTGAAGCACAGCTTAGCAAGCTCCTGCAGTGTGAGTCCTTAGCCCCTCCCTCAGAACCAACCAAGGTCCAGCTTTGAGGTTTCTAAAGCTGCCAGCCTCCTAAGGGAGTATTCCTATATAGAAATATATTTCAGAGGGCTGATAAGCCTCCTTTAAATATTTGGTTAAGAGCTCGCTCAAGCATGTGAGCTCTGAGCAACAGGGTCACCGGTTTGATTCCCGGCCCCAGCTGAGCTGCCACTGAGCTGCCAACAGGTGGCAGGATGGCCCAGCTAAATAAATATATATGTATATATGTATGTATGCATGTATGTATGTATGTATGTATATGTGTGTGTGTGTGTATATATATATATATTTGGGATGCACCCTTTGAAATTAATGGTTTAACTGCTGATGCCAACTATTATAGTACAATATGTAGAAAACTAAGACCCAAAAGGCCTATGTGAAAGGAGACAGATCTGATCCAACAATCATTTATTTTAATGTCAGAGTTATTCAGATAATGTTAAATTATATACCTCCAAGAAAGCTGTGAGGCCAGTGATATCCTACCTGTTGTCCTTGGGGCTCAGCTGGAGTCCATGAGAGCCCAGGCCAGAGGATGAACTCTGGTCTAGGAAACCTTGGAATGGAGGAGAGGGGGCACTGGTTCAGGATCTGAGTGTGCCTAGGGGTTCTGGAAGGAATTGAGGTCACTAGGAAGATACAGAGCTGCTCTCAAAATGACTTAGGATTTCTTTTCTGTGGATTCCCCACTCCCAGGACAGCCAAGAGCCATCTCCCAGTGACTGTCTCTCCCCCGACACCAAAAACCTATTTTGTCTGTAATCATTGCCCACAGTAAACCTCCATCTGAACA